TGTTCCCAAGTCAGTACTCTTTATTTAGATGATGGGGAATGTCCTTCTGTATATATAGTTTTCTTATTGGTTGATGAATAAAACACTGATTGTCCAGTAGCCAGGCAGGAAGGGGTTACCAGACAAGAGAATTCTGGGGAGAGGAGGAGAGAGAGGTCACAGAGAGAGACGACATGTAGCCACAGGGAAGACAGGATGCGCTGGCCATTTCATGTAAGATAAGGCCATGTAGAAATACATACGCTAATAGTTATGGGTTAAATAATTAAGAGAGAGCTGGCCAATAAGAAGCCTGAGCCATCGGCCAAACAGCTTATAATTAATTTAAGTCTCTCTGTGCATATTAGGGCCTGAAGGATGGCAGGACCAGCCTGGACAGAAACTCCAACTACATTTAGACTCCAGGAATCAAATTCAGCTACTGAGTCTGGGGGCAAACCTACCAAGCCCCACAACCAGCCCTTTCTCTGTTTTCTTAATCAAAACTTCAGTGTTACAAAGGTGATATTTTTTCTTGCATGGATGCTTTAAATATATTCTCATTTTCAATTTCTACTTGCACATTTGAAACCTTTTTATGGAAAAGCTCTCCCATACAATGCAATTGTCTGTTAAAGCCAAGCTTTGTGATCAAGCCAAGAGAAAGACCCTGTTTTAACCAAATTACACATACAGTACAAAGCCTGACTTGATTTTAGAATTCAAATAAGTGTGTTTAGTAATTCTTAACCCGGAGGACAGGCTTCTGGATGAAGGAAGGCACATTTCCTGCTGCTGGGCTTGGCTGTGGTGGCTGGGTGTCCCGTAAGCGCTGCTTCCTTCAGCCATCTCTTCGCTGCTCTCTAGAAGTGCTCACACCAGGCAGTGATGCAGCGGTGTCCAATGCAAGTCGCGCCAGACTGACCAGCAAGCAGGCGGGCATGTAGAGTAGGGGAGCTGGATTTGGTGAGATGGATTCTGACTTCTTCCTGCCCTGCAAACTTTGCCCTCCCCATGGATGGACACCTTTTGTTAGGGTTTGAGGAAAATCATTAAATTTGATTATGACTATGATTATTATTGTTGTGTGTGTAAATGGTATATGTATATGAACTAGGGTGTGTGGGTGTCACAGGAGCCCGGGTGTCACAGGAACATGGGTGTCACAGGAACATGGGTGTCACAGGAACATGGATGTCACAGGAACATGGGTGTCACAGGAGCCCGGGTGTCGCAGGAGCACAACTTCATGGAGTTAGTTTCTCCTTTCACTGTGAGGTTCAGGGTTGCCAGGCTTGTAAGGTATTTCTACCCACCAAGTTTTAGGAAACTTACCTCCCATTTGGGAGGTCAAAGGTCATTCTGTGGTTTCACATAGTCTCAGGTTTGTCCAGGTGAAGTCACTTTCTAGGAGGCCGTTTCTCCAGGAAAAACGAAACAAAACAAAAGTAACACTTCATCAAACTCTAGAACTGTGCCACCCTCACTGGAACTTCCTGGAACTTCCTGTCGACCTTCCAGCAGCTGTGCTGAGCAGGCTTGGGAGCCTGCAGAGGCCCTGACAGTTGAGAGTCATGGGTAACATGTTCCGGAATGCCCAGCAAGAGTTCTGTGTAATTCTAGGGTGTCACTCTACTGTTTATACACAAATGTTTACAACCACAGTTAGTATTAGGAATAATAATGATAATCACTAAATACTTAATTGGGACCCTGCATCAACCCCATGTGATTCTGACCTATCTTTGGGCAGTATCCTCATTTTAAGATTTGGAGAGCACTCTTGTGGTTTTACAGTAGCCTGTCTGAGACTACACTGTCTCAGGAACTAGTCAATCTAGAATCCTGCAGCAGGGATGTCGTTTGATTATTTTGCTGTTTGCCCCTTGCCCCCCAAACCCCAGAAATCCAAACCAAAAAACAAGGGTGGAAAAGATACAAATTTGGATGTGAGTTTACAAGTGGGGCAAGCTTACTAAGAACACAAACTTCCAAAGATAATCAGATTCCATACAAGCTTTATCCAATGGACTCCCAGTAACCCTACTGCAGGGATGGTGGGCTGGCTGCTGGCAGAGAACCCTTGAGCTTACTCAGCAAAGCCTCGGGAAGCTTTTCCAGCTGAGCCACAGGCTTCCCTGCCGGGGATCTGCACCATCTACTGCGTCCATCCGTGCACAGGATTCCCTGCGTCAGGTCCGTCTGTTGTTCCAAGACAGTCGCAGCAAATTGGTAGGCAGGTGGCTTGTCATGGTCATGTTTTAGTCTTCTTGTTTTCTAGTTCTTAAAAAATGTAAATCATCCAGTAGCATAGACACTAAGATCGATAATTAATACATGGGAGCTCCTGAAACTGAGAAGCTTCTGTAAGGCAAAGGACACAGTCAGCAAGACAAAAAGGCACCCCACAGATTGGGAGAAGATATTCACTAACCCCACATCTGACAGAGGGCTGATCTCCAAAATTTACAAAGAACTCAAGAAGCAAGTCTCCAAAACACCAAAGGATCCAATCAAAAAATGGGATATAGAACTAAATAGAGAATTCTCAATAGAGGAAACTAAAATGGCCGAGGGACACTTGAGAAAGTGTTCAACATCCCTAGCCATCTGGGAAATGCAAATCAAAACAACTCTGAGATACCATCTCCCTCCTGTCAGAATGGCTAAAATCAAAAACACCAATGACAGTTTATGCTGGAGAGGATGTGGAGAAAGGGGAACACTCCTCCACTGCTGGTAGGAGTGCCAACGCGTACAGCCACTTTGGAAATCAGTATGGAGATTCCTCAGAAAAATGGGAATCAGTCTACCACAAGACCCAGCAATTCCACTCTTAGGCATATATCCAAAGGAGGCAAATTCATACAACAAGGGCATCTGCTCCACTATGTTCATAGCAGCATTATTTGTAATAGCCAGAACCTGGAAGCAACCTAGATGCCCCTCAACTGAAGAGTGGATAGAGAAAATGTGGTATATTTATGCAATGGAGTACTATTCAGCAGAAAAAAAAACAATGGAATCTTTAAATTTGCAGGCAAATGGAAAGCACTAGAAGAAACCATACTGAGTGAGGTAACCCAGTCACAAAAAGGGAACATGGTATGTACTCACTCATTTATGGATTTTAGACATGAATCAGGGGAGTGCCAGCCTACAATCCCACTGCCAGAGAGTCTAGGAAACAGAACATTCATCCAGTGACTGATGAAAGCAGAGGCAGATACCCACAGACAAACACTGAGCTAAACTCCTGGAATCCAGTGTCGGAAAGAGAGAACTGATGGGCAAAGGAGTTAAGAATGGGCTGGTTTAACCTATAGAAACAGCTGACCTGAACAAGGGGGAGCTCTTCGACACCAGATTGATGGCTGTGTGTGGAAAGCATGGGACTGACCCAGACCCCCTGAATGTGGGTGTCAGTGATGAGGCCTAGGTAATCTATGGGGCCTTGGGTAGTATTTATCCCTGGCATACAAATAGATTTGGAGTGCCCATGCCACAATATGGGAGGCTCTCTCAGCCAGGACTCTTGCGGCAGGGCCTAGGCCCTGCCCTGGATGAAATGACAGTTATTGGAGATCCACCATGGAGTGCTTCACCCTCCTTGGAGATCGGACTGGAGATTGGGTGGGAGACTGGGGGACCTGTTGGGGAGGGTGGGGGTGGGGAGAGGGAGAGGAAGCTGGGATTGATATGTAAAACAAGATTGTTTCTTACCTAAATAAAAAAAAAGAAGAAAAAAAAAGAAAAAAAATGTAAATTAACCATGTCAACCTTAAAAACAAGACAGAACTGCACAATTTCAAAGAGCAGTCTTTTTTTTTCTTTCCTTCTCATGAGAAACCAAAAGACTCTTCTAAAGTGGCCTTGGCAAAAGAGCAACTTTAGAGAAAGTAAGTGTTTATTCTGCACCGGCCATTCCCTTGTAGACTTCCTGTCTGGGCTAGGAGGCCCTAGATCTCTCTGCTGGCTGCATCTTCTGCTCTCATCCACGTTTTTGCCTCCAGTCTGTGTCCTCAGCATAACCCTCTGGGCTCTGACTTGTGTCTACATTTTTTCATAATGGTAATCACTATGTATCATTAGGGTTTACACTACATTTTGGTAACTACATTGTTTCATATATCTCTTGCCTTTTCTGCAAACATTCTTGCACTATCCTATAACGAGCTCTGCGGGGCTGGGGGGGGGGGGTGTTGGTTTGTTTTTAAATAGCCACTTTGTGTTTGATTTCATACTTCTGCCCCTCTTTTCTGAAAGGTTTAGAATCTGAGGTCTCCTACTATGTAGCTGGGCAGAGTCCTGGCAGCAGTAGCTGAGAACTGTTCCCCTGGATCACAAACCCATGACCAACCCCATGCAGAAGTTCTCATCTCATGCAAGGTAAAACCTCTAATCAGTCACTGCTTTTGGACCTAACACTACTGTTGTTTGCTGACTTGGGCATGGACTAGAGAATTAAAAGGAAACCGTGTGATGATGCGTGCTGATGACTGACACTGTATGTTTCTCTTCTCTTCCATAAAAGAATTGAAGGGATCAGTGTAGCAAGCAGCAGGAACAGTTGCCAAGTCTTAAGCGATAGAAGCGGGGCACACGCACTACCTGGATTCTCTTAGTCTACCTGAGTCAAGTCTTTTCCACCTATTGCCACCACACCCATGTCTCAAAGAAGCTCTCATTGGGGCATTGAAGTTTTACTTCAGAAATCTAGGGGAAATGCAGCTTCAAAAAGATAAAAAACAAAAACAACAACAACAAAAAAACAAACTGAAAAAACCCCACGGGGGTGGGGTGGGGGAGCGGTGGTGGCACACACTTTTAGTCCCAGCACTCGGGAGGCAGCGGCAGGCAGATCTCTGAGTTTGAGGCCAGCCTAGTCTACAGAGTTGGTTCCAGGACAACAGAGAAACCCTGTCTTGAAAAGCCAAAACAAACAACAAACAATAAAAAATAACCTCTGGTCCTTACTGAATTCAAATTAACACACAGTTTATATAGTTGGAAAAAGAAAAGAGTTTTGGATATATATTTTATTTGACAGTGTTTTAGAATATCATACAGTAAACAAGATTTCTGTAAAAGTTAATTTATCCATAGTGGTGCGGTTCATAAAAATAGTTGCTCACTTACAGTCTTTCTGTGACTATTAATACATGGGATTATATTTATAGAGATACAGCTGTACAGGGTAAATTCACAGCTAACACTACACAGAAGTATTATTTGCAATGAGATTTAGATGATGTGCTGTCTTCACAGGTTATGGATTACAACCGCATAAAGCAATTACTGCACAAGTAGTAGCTGTGCAAATTAGAGTTTATGCAAGCGTAATCTCCGCTTTGTTTTTCCTTTTGTAACATGGAAAATAAAGGTCAGAGGATACAGTACCAGGACGTGCAGCTACACTACAGAAGCATTGTCCAAAACCAGATTCAATAAATTAATGGCAAACTATACTGGATTTCTAGTCCAGGGGAGAAAGACGAATTGACATTGAACCAAAAGTATAAACCACTACATGTGTTTGTGCTTTTGTTTATGATGAATGTGTTTCATTTTGGAAATTACTTTCACAAGCTGCAAGACCCTTCATAGGAGGCTGGTTGCCATACAACTATCCCTATGTCTGAGGGACTTAAACTAAGTTGTACCTGGGTTACAAAGGGAGGGAAAGACTCACTTGGGACAGCTTTTACATGTGACCAGGTGCGAATGACCTGACCTCCTCTTTTACTTAACTGTTTTGGAACTTGTGAAGGGGGCAGACTGTGGGAAGGGCTGAAGCATATTCATGACAGACTGTCTTTAGACATTTCTCCCTTTATGACACACAGCTACAGTAAGTACCAATAGACAGCTCTACTGAAGTTAATGCTTTCCGGTTTTACTGCAGGGCCAGTCATTAACCTGTGATGGTAACCAGGGGACATAAAGAGGCATCTGTAGATTGTTAGTGTAACAAAAAACGTTATACAAGGCGGAGGCAAACCAAATGGAAACCAAAGAGACATCAAATAAGGAAAGATAAACAGAAAGGAATGCCAAAGGACTCATGTTCTTTAATGAAAATAAATTAGTTATAATAATGTTTTTAATATTAGAGATTCATTCTAATTTGAGAAGTACAGGACAAATACTTTGTCAAAGTGCAAAGGAAGTAATGAAGAGGTTTTAAAATAAGACAATAAAATAGGTAAAACAGCACATCGCTAACAAAGCAGCTACCTATCTCTGTACCTGGCATGACAGGAAAGCCTTCTCAGGAAGGAACCGCAGCGTTGCCAATCTCGATTAAACAGATTATGGTCTTCTGATTATAACACTCCTATTTTAGAGGAAAACCAATTAAGATCTACGAGCTAACCTGCAAAATTCTGACTTACGGCAAACTGTTCCCTAGGATACAATTTTTAAAACCTTTTTTCCCTACCACTGAAAATGTACAGACATGTGACTTGATCACAGAAATGGCAGTAAAAACGGCATCACACCAATGAATTCACTAGGTTTCTAACTCATCCTGCAGTAGGCAGGGAACGGTGCTAATCCCGGCGGTGGATGCCAAGGGTGAGCCATGGAAATGTCATGGGCGAACAGTTCTTAATGTTTCAAAGGAACCCTTTAACCCCTGTCTAGATATGTCAAGAACGACTTATTTACAACACTTTAGATCAATTAAAAGATATAATCTTGTCTCCGTTTCCGCTTGCTCCGTGCAGTTTGAATTTTTAAGGCGATATTCCAGTTTGTGATTGCTCTGAACTTGTCCAGTTTCTCGATATAAAGTTTGGATGACATCCGAAACCTTCATGCAGTGGGGGTTACTTTTTCTCTTTCTCTTTTTAGACTAAAGCTACACCTCACTGTCTCTCTGTGATGGTCGCGTGATTTTGGTTCTTCCATAGCTGCCAAAGCACCCACCATGGGACCGGGGGCTTTAGGATCAGTTTAGGTCCGTGCGCACACCTTGCCGTGCCGCCCACGCGCGCGTCGCGCACCGACGCTCCCAGGCCTCGCGCCTCGTGTGGATCGATCTATGCGTGTGACAGTGGAAATAAATTAAAACGCCGTGAGACGGAACCCGGGAGGGACGGCCTGCGTGGAGGCAGCTGGGGGCCCCTATCTGCCCGCGGCCGAGGCTCCGGGCTGCAGGGCGCCCGGCAGCTTGTCGGAGCCCGGCACCTTCCAGGGCCCCGGTGCCACCGCCGCCTTGCGCGCCGGGCCGCCCGCCGTGGGTCGTGGTGCGGGGCGGGACCCCGAGCGCACGCCCACCTTGGCCTCGGCCTCCCGCGCGCCCGCGGCCCCGGGGCCCTCGCGCAGGCCCCGCAGCGCCTCCTTCCCGTCGGCCGCCTCCGAGGCGGGCCTGCCGGCCTCGGGCCTCCCTTGGCCGCCGGGCACCTCCTCCAGCCTCGGGCGCACGCTGCTCTGCTGCGGGCTTGCCGAGCGCTCCCTCTGCTCCCCCAGGCGCTGCTTCTTCTGGCCGCCGGCCGAAAGCTCCTTTGGTTTCCTAACGCCGTGTTCCCTTTGGATATCCCAAGTCGGGTCTGGGCCTCTCTGGTGGGAAGGGTCGGAGGGTGGGGCTGGGTGCGATGGAGAGAATGGAGAGAGGGTGTCTTCGAGGGAGACGCCTACTTCCGGCAGGCCTGGGGCGGTGGCAGCGGCAGCACTCCAGGCGTAGGGTTCGTCTGCGGACACGGAGCACAGCGTTAGGGCTTGGGGCGCGCCACGTCCCCCTGCTCCAGCTCCCCCCTCGCCGGAGACGTGGGCTGGCAGCCGGGCGGCTGCTCTCAGGGGCCCACCCACACCCCCTCACTGCCAAGAGGGCAGCCGGCCGCGCCCAGGGATTCCGTGTCCCACCCTCCACGAGTGCACAAGAGTTCAAGGCGCAGCTCCGGCCTGATCCCCTTGCCTCACTCTGCTCTAACTTTGGTGTCCAGCCTAGCATGGACCCTGACTTGACAGTACTTTAACCGGTGGCTCTCAACCTTCTCGGTGGTTATGAAACTACACATTGTAAAGGGACCAGGTGCTTTTTTCTGTTTTTAGCAGCACCCAGGGCATGCTTGGGTCAGAGCCCTCTGCAAAGGAGTTGGGCGAGTGATTTTTCTCAACCATTAGGTGTCGCTCAAAGCGTAATAATTCTCAGCTATTGCCTGATAGTTTGGGGATTTGGATTGATTCATTTCAAAACGATTATTGCTCTCTTGCCTTAAAAAGAAAATCATTATTTTTGATTTTTTTGTTTTTCCTTTTTTTTGGTAGTTTTAACATGGATGGCTCCTAGGCTAAGATATATGGGGCTGTTTCTAGAAAGCCTAGCTTCAACATTGAGGATTTACTGTTTACTTCCAAAAAGGATTTAAAACAACATAATGTGTGTATTATGCTGTAATATATATGTTGTAAGAAATAACTTAAAACAAAACACTGGCCAAAACACTGGCCAGAAGCCAAGTAGAAAACAGATGTGTGAGAAATCAAGGATGAGTTAGCTACTATCATGAACAATAACATTACCCTTGAATTTCTTTACCCTAAGGCAAACATAAAGCAAGAAAATTCAATACAGAAACCCTTGATATTTGTGAGGAATATGTCTTGTTGACCTTTGAAAATCCTCAAATTTTGTAATATTGTTCTAGAATTTAATTTTCTCTAAGGAATTGGTATATGAGTCAGGGGACAAAGAAGCCACATTAATATTGAATTCTGGGTAGCTGGTGATCCTTCTCCACTAGTAACTAAACCACCCCCTCCCCGTCAGCCTTAAGGGTGTGATTCTATTTCTGGCCTCTGTAACAGGGATCAAGGTGACCAAGGTGGTCTTGGGCATAGCCAGTCCATGTATACCAGGAGTCTGCTTTGGGAATTCTCATATAGTACTTCCAATAGTGACTTAGATGAGGATAAAAGGAGAACAATGGAGCTGATGTTTTCCCCCAACAATTTTGGTCACCTTTAAAGTATCAGATTAGTTGTAAAAGGTCTCTTCTTTGATGTGAAATCTGAATAGGTTTATTCTGCTATCTCCCTTCTCTCCAGAAACTGATGTCTGTGAATATTTCCACATTGTAAACCAAGAATCCTCGGTTACCTTAGGAATAATCTGCAATTAGTAGATGTATTCAGTGAAAATGGGAATGTATCCTACTGTATGCTAGTGTTAAAAATCAAAGTAATATACAATAGGAAGTGGAAACTTGCCAATATAGGAAAATGCTGCCTAAAGCAGTTAAACACACCATTCAAAAGACCTGGGGTAGCTTGTGCAATGGCGTTTCTGACCAGCGCGGTGCAAAGGTATTTCTGACCAGCACTGTGCAATGGTATTTCTGACCAGCGCGGTGCAATGGCGTTTTGCATATTAACAGCTCTTTTCCCCACCATTACATCACATATGCTAGAGTCAATTAACTGGCCTTAAATTACGTCTGAGACACAGGGAGAAGGCTGACATTATTTATGCCATTTCCTGAAGAAGGACCTGAAGCAGAGAGAAGGTTAAGTAGCTTGACCAAAATTATAGAATGGCCACCCAAGAGTAACATTTAGGGTTTCTTTACCCTTTTTACTGACTGAGAAAATCGTCCCAACCTATTGCCATGCAAATAAGGCAAAGCCAGTGAGACCAGTCTCAGCGGTCATGTAAGGGCCTGGTGCCGTCACCCACCAGAGTCCCTAGTCTTTCCTCAATGTCATGAACCGTATGTGTGGGACTGAATAGGAGGGTCCTCTGCAGACCATGAAAACTACTAATTCCCACATGTAAGCAGCTGCCATTATTGGCCTGGAGTCATTTCTGAAGCCTTATTCTTGCTATAAAACTATTTTCAAGAGATTTTTAATAAGTGATTAAAAACTGAAGGAGAAACCAAGCGTTTTGTGCTCTAAGATACTACCTATTAAGAATATTAATCAGAGGCAGGCGTTGGTGGCGCACGCCTTTAATCCCAGCACTCGGGAGGCAGAGGCAGGCGGATCTCTCTGAATTCGAGGCCAGCCTGGTCTACAGAGCGAGTTCCAGGACAGCCTCCAAAACAATATAGAGAAACCCTGTCTCGAAAAACCAAAAAAAAAAAAAAAAAGAGTATTAATCAGAATTTAAAAATAACTGTGTATAAGCTATTTCAGAGGTAGAAATCTATGTGTGTGTGCATTTTTATTTCTGAGTAAAGGAGCGCTATAGTTCAGCGCTGGGTATGCAGCGCCCACACAGGCATGAGCTTGTCGACCTCCACAAGACACCTCAGTGGACAGCCTTCCATGTACCTTGTCCTGTCACCTACTCATCAGGTGAGATGAGTTGGGGACAGGAAGAGCCCTTCTCTAATCTGTAAAACTCTAAAAGTCATGACAGCACGATGGACAACGAAGGAATCACACACATTTAGTAATTTCATTTCTGACTTCATGGCCTGATTCCTTTAGGCCACATTTTCTTGTTTTCCCTCCTTCATTCTTTGCTTTCTTTCTTGTACGTGGGAACAGGCTAGGGTGTGTGATGGTGGTCTAGCACAGGCTAGGGTGTGTGATGATGGTCCAGCACAGGCTAGGGTGTGTGATGGTGGTCTAGCACAGGCTAAGGTGTGTAGTGATGGTCCAGCACAGGCTAGGGTGTGTGATGGTGGTCTAGCACAGGCTAGGGTGTGTGATGATGGTCTAGCACAGGCTAAGGTGTGTGATGGTGGTCCAGCACAGGCTAAGGTGTGTGATGATGGTCTAGCACAGGCTAGGGTGTGTGATGGTGGTCTAGCACAGGCTAGGGTGTGTGATGATGGTCCAGCACAGGCTAAGGTGTGTGATGATGGTCTAGCACAGGCTAGGGTGTGTGATGGTGGTCTAGCACAGGCTAGGGTGTGTGATGATGGTCCAGCACAGGCTAAGGTGTGTGATGATGGTCTAGCACAGGCTAAGGTGTGTAGTGATGGTCCAGCACAGGCTAGGGTGTGTGATGGTGGTCTAGCACAGGCTAAGGTGTGTGATGGTGGTCCAGCACAGGCTAAGGTGTGTGATGATGGTCTAGCACAGGCTAGGGTGTGTGATGATGGTCTAGCACAGGCTAAGGTGTGTAGTGATGGTCTAGCACAGGCTAGGGTGTGTGATGATGGTCTAGCACAGGCTAAGGTGTGTGATGGTGGTCCAGCACAGGCTAAGGTGTGTGATGATGGTCTAGCACAGGCTAGGGTGTGTGATGGTGGTCTAGCACAGGCTAGGGTGTGTGATGATGGTCCAGCACAGGCTAAGGTGTGTGATGATGGTCTAGCACAGGCTAGGGTGTGTGATGGTGGTCTAGCACAGGCTAGGGTGTGTGATGATGGTCCAGCACAGGCTAAGGTGTGTGATGATGGTCTAGCACAGGCTAGGGTGTGTGATGGTGGTCCAGCACAGGCTAAGGTGTGTGATGATGTAGCACAGGCTAGGATGTGTGATGGTGTAGCACAGGCTAGGGTGTGTGATGGTGGTCCAGCACAGGCTAGGGTGTTTCATGATGGTCTAGCACAGGCTAGGGTGTGTGATGATGGTCTAGCACAGGCTAAGGTGTGTAAATGGTGGTGTAGCACAGGCTAGGGTGTGTGATGGTGTAGCACAGGCTAGGGTGTGTGATGGTGGTCCAGCCCAGGCTAGGGTGTGTGGTCATGCACATTTATTCAGTGGTTGAGGAAGATGTCTCTACAACATCTTCTCTGAGATGGACTAACAGGAGATGTAACGGGATGCATCCTACAAAGTTGAAACAAGCTGGCTGGGCTCTCTGTAGCTGCGCTGTCCAAGCAATGTCCCAGGCACAGAGACTTAAATTGCCTTCATTAGTGTTTCCTTTCCTTTCCTACCCGACTCAATGATACTTGTGTGTCAAATCCAGAGGCTGCCTCTGTGTATTCACCTCCACATACCACAATCACACACAGACAAGTATTTCCATGAGCAGACTGGACTCACAGTTTCACGACACCCTAGTCTCCTGCTCCTCACCCGACTCTTCCTTTCCATGACCTCGTTAGGACTTAGTCATCGAAAGAAAGCTCCAATCAATGTTCCTGTTGGCCTCTGTTCTAGCTGATGGCTCTATGCTGGCTTATCCATCGGCCTTCTTAATCTCTCTTTGAAAAATGTATTGTCTTCTTCAATACCTCAACTAAAGAACTGGAAACCTTCCCTTCCGAGCCCTTCTCCACCGCAGCTCATTATCTCACATGACAGACAGTGCTGTAGTCAGATGATGTCACCCTGGATCCCTTTCTCTTATCTCACAAACCCAGTGCATGTGTTTTCTTAGTCTTGTCTCCAAATACACCCAGGTTCTAGCAACTTCACCTACTTTTTAACCACTGCAATTCAAGATAAGGGGCAGACCCTGGAAGGATGCAGCCGATATAGGATGATCAAGACAATCACATTTGAAAGGAGGCCACAAGTAGACATATTCCCATGGGGAGACTACAGATAATTTAAATTTCAAAAATCAATTTCAGCATTGTTCAGAGAAGCATAGTAAATGGTGAACTACCGCCGACACCACCTGTCTGTGCAAGGGATTGGCTTGGCATGAGAAGCCAGTTTGGTTTTAGGCACTGAGCAGAGGGCATTGTTTTAGACAGAGGAGCTGCAGAAATCAATGTCACCTGAGCCATTACCATAATCCACTCTTCTTTGTTTCCTTGCTTGAGAAACTCTAGGGCATCTC